AAATTCATAGTAAACAGTAGTACATAGTCATTGTATTATTAGCATCTATCTACAAATTTTGCGACGATCAATGAGAAAACAAGCACTTTAATACCTATGTGATACAGTTCGAAGCTGGTAAAAGTTGGGACTAGATAAGTAGAAGATTATGGCTATTGCAGTAACTAACTTCAAACACTTTAAACCAATGAGAACTGAAAATGGCTCAACAATGATGAAGTGGAACAGTTAGATTACCGTTTTTCAGGATGAGTGCGAAGGATGTGCAACTGCACATTTGAGCGTTGTCATCTTCGACTATATCTCACCTCGGTTGAATACAATCATTCGCTAAGGAGAACATTCCGTTCGTTGTAGATAAGCAATAGGCTGTAAAAAATAGTTAACATTTCACTATTGAATGCCCCTACCTATGTGTCGTTTGCAATTGCTCATACAATAGAATCTTCAACACTTTTCCGATGACTTTTCTGACATCGTTGTAGCAAAACGTGAGATTTTATTCAAGCAAATCAGCCAGCGCCAGCGATAATGTCCCTTGGACAGCTGTTAATTCTGTCGGTGAATAATCGAGTGCGAACATAAAGCTCATAAATTACCTTGACCAGACGTCTTCCCAGCCTGTCATCCCGCAACGCCCACTTTAGATCAGAAACAAATGTTTACCTTAAATTCGTAGTTTTCTGCTCGCCACTTCGAGTTGGGAATAGCATTCGGGACTTCGAATTCTTATCAAAGTAATTTCTCATTTAATCAGCCGATCTAAACGAGAATGAAGTGGACTTCATAGTGGTTAACAGATAAAAGTGCAAGATTAGTTTCGAGTGAATGGCTTTCTTTCTCGGCATAAGCTACTCAAAAACTCACTTTTATTCGATTCTACTAAAGCATTCACTTAATTCTCAAACATTTAGCTCCATTATTGCAATCGCCAGTTTCTCCAATTTTCGACTGTTCACATTCCGCAAGGTTAGCGGATTTGATGTGACTAGCGCAACTTCACACGAAACACTTGTCGAATGGCACGATTTTCGATTGTCAATATTGCCAAGTGCTGCAGTAAATAATCTTTTTGCTCTACTTATGTATCAATTCGTGACAAAGAACTCGTAGTAGTTGTACTCATTGCAAGATCATAGGCAAATTATGACTCAGAATGTGAAGCTGCATAGCAAAATTTCGTCTAAGTGAACGAAGATTGGTTCGTAACCCCAACAGAACTAGCTTCGTTAAATCAAAATGGAGAAATTACTACGATCAATTTTGAGATTAACATCCTCCGGTGTTGGCGTCATTCCTTTTTTGACGCAAAGTAACGATGAGTTTATTTCCCATTTTCCCGTGGAACATGGCGTTAGCTCTTTTATTTGAGCACAAATTGTCTAAATTTGAAAATTAAGCCTTCCATCATCCGCGCTTTTGTTCGCGCTCGCGGTTATTTAGCAATGGAACCTACCATTATGCTAACACTATTAGTATTTCGGTTCAGTGATCTAGTATCATACCGCCCGGCACTCGAACGACATTGTACTGCAGTTAACCCTTCTTCGTCTCAACTTTAGTTCCAGCGGGATAATTTTCGTGGCCCCTCTCGCTAAGGCCGTGTCTTGACGCGCGAAACCCGCGTGCGACATCACGCGGAGGGCGGTGACGACGGCAGGTGACTGGCGCCGGGCGCAAGAGCAGCGCAGTGATGAGCCGTGATGATGCGACGTCATCGGCACTGCAACTTGCGCAACGAGCCATTGCGTTCGACCAAGCTCAGCGCTATGAGGAGGCCATCTACTGTTATGGAGAAGCTGCCGATCGGATTGTTCACTTGTTG